TCAAACTCCTTATCCTGTTGAGACTCCTTCTCGTAATAAGACTCACCCGCATCCCCTGGAGTCCTAATGGGATACGGTTAGTCATGACTATGCGGCCCATGAACCGGATAACCTCCCGTCAACTTCTACGCACGGCCTCTGGGCCGAGAACAATTCTAAACTCGGCCCAAACTAATATTTTTGGGCCCAAACAGTTCTAAATTAAAATTCTTATATTTTCTTAAGTAATATCAATTGTAAAAAAATAAACATTTAAAGTCAATCAATCAGTTGTTTTAATGCAGTTTGAATTTTCAACATTCTAATCTAAGAGCACAAATAAATCCAAAATGATTGGTCATATGTCACAGTCATTCTTCAACTACCACGGATGGTAACGATAGTGAAAGATAAGGCCACTAATTAAACTACAAATCCTAAAGTCCTTGACGCCATTTTCCACAACAACTTCGATTATTTTACACCAAATTGTATATTAATATATATTTTTCCTTGATATTTGGCCATACTGAAAGTGAGAGCCCGGCAAATATGCATTTGGCACTCTCTACCAAAGTTGTAAGTTGACCCCAAAAAAAAAGTTGTAAGTTGGATTAAAAATTTGACTTGGAAGACGGGTGGAGGTCATCATAATCCGTGATTTTGTAATAGGGTGCTTTCAAATTAACTCTTGTAGTGAAGTCCTGCAGAAGAAAGAAAATCAATATCGCCAAAAACCTTTAATTTGCCTAAAGAAAATGAAGGAAATGGATACCTGGTCGAGCTTAGGGAAGCTGTTAACTTTGGTGCTGGTGTTAGTGTCCTATCACTTTGCGGCTCGCAATTCCGGTCTTGTCTTTGATGTCGTCATCTTCCTCCTCTGCTCCTTTAGCCACGTCTTTCGCCAAATGAATGTCTCAGTCCCCGATAAAGCCTCATCGTCCTCCTCCTTGCCCGGATCCTCATCCTCGTCCTCATCCTCATCGTCCTCCTTCACCTCCTCGCTCTCATCCTCATCCTCATTGTCCTCCTCCGCCTCCTTGTCCTCGTCCTCCTTCTCAAAAGGTTCGCTCTACGATGTGTTCATAAGCTTTAGAGGCGAAGACACACGTAAAAACTTCACGGGCCACCTCTATGAAGCATTAACAAAGGCCGGAATCAATGCTTTTATTGACGACGAAGAACTAAAAAAGGGAGAAGAATTAACAATCGCATTTGAGAGGGCAATCCAAGGTTCTAAGATCTCTATCATCGTCTTCTCTAGACAGTATGCGAACTCCAGCTGGTGCCTCGAGGAGCTGGTAAAGATCATGGAGTGTAGAAGAACGCTGGGGCAGTTAGTTTTGTCGAATATTCTATGACATTGATCCTTCGCATGTCAGGAAACAGACTGACTGTTTTGGACAATCGTTTCGGGACCATATAGATGAAAAGAAGGTAGAGAGTTGTAAGGTAGAGAGGTGGAGAACTGCTCTTACTAAAGCTTCGAATTTGTCTGGCTGGGATCTCCAAGACGGGTACTTACTAATTTCTTCTCTTATGAATTTAGGCTTTAACGTTCCTTTGCTTATTAATTTGGAAGCATGCGATTTCTTAGACCTCTTTTAATAAAATCATACAATAAAGCTTCAACTGTTAAGCTTACACTAATCATAGCAGGGGAGCCGCCGGCGAATGGCTGCAGAGGGAAGGGATACTGGTTTTGTTTGCTTGTGTTTCTATTTTGAATTTTTAATTGATGTTTGCTAAGTTTAAACACAACACCTCAAAGAAAATTGTCTTAAATAAAATCTCTCGTCGTGAAAAGTAATTTTGTGTATTAGTTCAATTTCGTCTTGTAGTTGTATAACAATCTTCGTTTTGCTTCTCAACTTGACCAATGTCAGGCATGAAGCAAAGTTTATCAGGAGGATTACTGAGGAAGTCACTAGAAAGCTGAACAACACATACTTAGACGTAGCACCCTACCAAGTCGGAATAGATTCTCGAGTGCAAAATATCAGTAATTATTTATGCATCGGAGATTCAGATGATGTTCGGGTGATTGGAATTTTGGGCATGGGTGGAATAGGTAAAACAACGCTTGCTAAAGCCGTTTATAATCGATTTTCTGACAGGTTTCAAGGTAAAAGTTTCCTTGAAAAAGTGAGGGAAAAGAAACTTGAAAAATTGCAAAAACAACTTCTTTCTGATATCTTGCAAACCACCAAGACAAAAGTAAGCAATGTTGCTGCAGGGACTGCCCTGGTAGGGGAAAGATTTCGACGCTTAAAGGTACTTGTCATAGTTGATGATGTAGACAATGTGAAGCAGCTACGCGAATTAGCTGGAAATTGCCACTCTTTTGGCCCGGGGAGCAGAATCATCATCACAACTAGAAATGAACGTGTGCTAAAAGAATTTGGAGTTGATAAGATATATCAGGCAGAAGGAATGGGCCGAGAAGAGGCTCTTGAGCTCCTAAGTTGGCATGCTTTCAGAAGTAGTTGTTGTCCTAGTCAATATCTTGTGCTCGCAAGCGAAGTTGTCAATTACTGTGGAAGACTGCCGCTGGCTCTTGAAGTTTTAGGATCTACTCTTTTCAAACGAAGTGTAGATGAATGGAGAAGTATATTGGATGAATTGAAAATGATTCCTCATGGAGAAATTCAGGCACAACTCAAAATAAGCTACGACGGGCTAAATGATAATTACAAGAGGCGGATGTTCCTCGATATAGCTTTTTTTTTTATCGGAATGGACAAGAACTATGTCATACAAATCTTGGATGGTTGTGGCTTTTATGCAACTACAGGAATCGAGGTCCTCCTTGACCGGTGCCTTGTAACTATTGGTAGAAAAAACAAGATTATGATGCATGATTTGCTTCGGGATATGGGCAGAGATATTGTGCATGCAGAAAATCCCGATTTCCCTGGAGGACGGAGTAGATTGTGGCGTTCTGAAGATGTAAATGATGTATTGATAGACAAATCTGTAAGTACTTTCCCAATTGAACTTTATATTAAACATGTAAGCATATGTAAGTTAGTAATCTAACTTTTTTTCATGCAAAGCCTTCTCTTATTTGGAGTTTGTTTTTTATGATAGCAGGGAACTGAAAAAATTGAAGGTCTTGCTTTGAATTTGCCGAGTCTTGTAGAGACTAGTTTCAGTACTGAGGCGTTTAGAAATATGAAGAGACTGAGATTGCTCCAACTGAACTATGTTCGGCTTGCTAGGGGATACCAATGTCTTTCCAAAAAATTAAGATGGCTGTGCTGGCATGGATTCCCATTGGAGATCATACCAATAGAACTGTGTCAACCAAACATAGTCGCTATCGACATGCAGTACAGCAGCCTCAAACAAGTTCTTTGTGAGTATTCTGGGGTAAGTACAATGTGTGACCTGAACCAAGTTCGGAATTATTTTTATGCTCTCTGTATCTTTTTTTTGGATTTAAATTTTTTATTTAAATTTGATTTTTCTTAACAGTTGCTTGGTAAGTTGAAGATTTTGAATCTCAGCCACTCCCACGATCTAACACAATCGCCAGACTTTTCGAAATTCCCAAATCTTGAGAAATTGATACTCAAAGATTGTAAGAGGTTGGCTAAAGTTCACAAGTCCATCGGAGATCTCAAGAGTCTTGTGTTGGTGAATTTGAAAGACTGTGAAACGCTTAAGGCTCTCCCGAGGAGTTTCTACAAGTCGAAATCTGTCAAAACTCTTGTTCTCAATGGTTGTTCAGGATTCCGAAGCTTGTCCGAGCACTTGGGGAAATGGCATCATTGGTCACTCTTTTTGCTGATGGGACGGCCATAAAAAAAGTACCAGCTTCCATCGTATGACTGGAGAAGCTCGATTGCTTATCTTTGAGTTACTTGAAGTGTCCTTTGCAGCTACCTTCCTTACGAGGCTTACACTTTTTAACAGATTTACAATTGGTAGACAGCAATTTAATGGAAGTGCCTAATGATGTTGGGAGTAGTCTACCTTGTTTAGTGTACTTATTTCTAGATAACAATAATTTTCGGAGCCTTCCAAGCCTCAGTGACCTCTCCATGCTTCATGCACTAAAATTGAATGGCTGCAGAAACCTTGTCGAGATCACAGATTTACCAAAAAGTTTGGATATCCTGGAGATGGACGACTGCTCTGCATTAGAAAGAATGCCAGATTTTTCAGGCATGTCGACATCCGTGTCTCTTGGTTCCCCCAAACTCATTGAGTTTCCAGGCTTGGATAGCGCGTTAAACTCGGGCCTCAAACTTCATATGTTCACACACAACAATGTCATAGATTTCCTTCTTAAGGATAACACGCTACAGGTACTCTCTCTCTCTTCCACACCACCACCCCCCTCCTCCCTCCCTCGCAAATATGTGTGTTATTTGTTATGTATGTATTACTCACACAAATCTTGTTCAACATGGTATAGGGATGGACAGGAAGTGGATATATGAATCTTGTAGGAAGACAAATTCCCACTTGGTTCAATTATGTCAACGAAGGTACCCAAGTCTCTTTTGAAGTGCCTAATGAAATTGGTTGTAATGCAAAAACGTTAGCTGTGTGCCTGGCTTTGGTTCCTTATGATGACGTTAGCTCGATTGATTTTGAGCGGGCGTCTTTTATTTATGTTATTAATCACACCAAGGGTACTAGTTTTTATGTCTGTATAGGACATGTTTTTTCCTTTCAAGAAATCCTTTGCCTTGGAAATTTTTCGTTGTCGGAAACTGAGTTCAATTTGGAAGAAGGCGATTTGGTTCATGTTATTGTACATTGTCCAACTACCGTGGTGAAGAAAATAGGGGTACGTTTAGTATGCGACAAACTTATGACTTTCGAAGGTTCGTTATTTCTTTACCATTCTATCCCTTACGAACGGGCCATAGAAGAAGCTTTTACTGAAGTTGATGATTTTGATGATGAATATGAAGATGATTTTGATGAGGATGATGACAACGACAATGAGGATTTTGATGAGGAGGACCAAGACGGTGATGCTAATGATGAGGATGATGACGACGACGACGACTGTGTAAGCTAGTAAACTTTCTGGTTTTATCAGCTAGTTTGTAGATAGAGTCTGTATTTTTTTGCGTGCCTTGATCTGTTTGTAATATGTTCTCTTTGTTTGAACTTTCTTGTTTCTGTGGTGATTTAATTCAACTTTTTAACGCATTTAAGGTTATAATATGTTTAGAGAAGCCCTAATTTTCTCATGTAGTCGCCAACTGTAAGCGTCAGCGCATGCCTCATCCCGTCTTCTCCAGGAACCCTTTCTGAGCACCCTATGGCCTGCCAAACTTCTGAAGAGCAACCAATGATATTGGCAGCTCAAAATTATGCTTTAGAAACTTCGACTGCTTGAACTTCCTCCTCTAGAAGCATCTTTCAACTTGTGGTGAGCCTCAGGGGTCCTGCTGCTTCAAACGTTTTGCTCGTAACTCATTCAATGCATCATCCTTGGCAGCTGCCCTGTCAGCAGATCTAGCTGATGAACGCACCCGAGAGGATGGAAGAGGTGGAGTCTCTTTCCGGGACTGTAGGGTCTTCCCTTTATCCCACTTTGGTCGGAACTTCTCCTTTAAGCTCTTGTCATCTTTCTTCTGTGCTCTTTCAGACAAAATTAGCTCTTTGAAGTTCAGACATCTCTGCAAGCTTCCGCCTATCATCTTCATCCTTGAAAAGATCACTGCCAACATCAAATTCATTGTTGTCCCCCCCACGATCCGAACCACTATCGTTATAACCACATTCTTCCTGGCTACCCTGTTCATCGTCTATTTCTGTTGGGTCCAGCCTCTTCTTCAAGTGAACTTGAGGTCCAGAGGGCTTCCCGCTTGCATAGCCACAACCATCGTCAAAATCATCACCTCTGGAGTCACTTCCTCCATCAGAATATGAACCTCCATGTCTCCTCCTAGCTGATGAATGTGAGTGTCGGTTTTTCCCCGATGAACTTGTTCTTCCCGCGGCCTCCAAGAGCAAATTTTCTAATTCTGCCATTATCCCATGTCCCTTGTGGTATGTTTTGGTGTTTTACTCGCATTCCTGAATAACTCATAATGTCAGCATTCGAAAAGAAGATAAAATCATCAACATATTATTACCATCTGTTGGTTCAAAACTACTTCAACTTGATAGTGAACACATTAGTTTGTAACAAAAATTTTGAAACCTAAAAATTCTAATCTGCTACTAACAATTTTGATGACGGCTAATAATTCACAATTTCACACTGAAGAAACACAAGATATATCAGGTGCTCAACTTCATCCTCTATGAACCCATCTAAGTCATTCCTCGAAAACAACATCTCCTTTTAACCCTAACACTGTATATGGAACACCCATTGCTTAAACTCCCTAAATTCCCAGCTCAAAACCGACTCACACAATGGCAACAAATCGAAAAAATTTCCCCCAAAAAAAACCTCCTTTCAACCCTAAGATTGTACATGGAACACCCACTTCTTTAATTATCAAAATTTCCAGCTCAAAACTAACCCCAAGACATTGGTAACGTGTCGAAAACCTTCTTGAAACCAATATCCCCTTTCAAACCCTAGGACTGTATTGAACACCCATTGCTCAAATTCCCAAAATTTCTAGCTCAAACAACCAAATCCCAGAATTACAATTTCTGAATTTCAGACAATATTAATTCTTAATCTCTGCACATTACAACAGATCTCGCTCAAAACCCAAAATGGTATTTAGTATTAACCGATTTTAATTCTTAAAACCAACCAAAAAAAACAAAAAATCTCAGCAAGAAATACAAAGAAAGTAGTCAAATTTGTGGTATTCGAACAAACAAAGGGCAACTACAAGAAGAATAAATCAATCACCTGAAAAAATCTGAGGGCTTCGGCAGTCAAATCTCTCTGGATAATCCAATTGCGGCAGACAAAAGCATGAAAAGCCGCTGAATTTAAAGAGCTTGCACAATTTGAAACAGTTTTGCCTATTTTAGGAAAGTTAGTGAACTCGCTGAGTCGACTCGCTGATTTTTTTTTAGGTTTTTGAGAAACTGCATGGAAACAACATGATTTCCCTGAAATTTGGTACTCGTGGCGGCACCAAATGATTGGTCTCGCCCACTCCAGCTTCCGAGCCATTGCTCCCGACTATCGCGGACACGAACTCTCCGACCCGCCTTCCCAACCAGACAAAGCCTCCTACCGCGACCTCATCAGTGGCGTCTTTGGAATTATCGATTCCCTTGCTATTCCTAAGGTACAAAATTTTCAGATACACTTTTTTGTTTTTAATTTTTGGCCTTTTTTTTTTTAAATTTTGGCTAGAAAATGAGCTTCAAATTTGAAAGTTGGTTCTTTTTTTCATTAATCATTGTTTGGTTGTTATTACAAGTTTGATTGAAAAAGCAATTTGTTGTAAAGATGACATTTGTGATTTCCAAACTCCCATTTTTTGCGCGCATTTGTTCATAATGGATTGAATAAATCAAAGAAGAGTTCAAGGATACAAAAAACAGGAGAGTGTAGTAGGAGAATGAGAGTGTAAAATCACTACAACGTGCATTTATTTGCTTTGTTGTTTATCCGGCAAATGAAAAGCTTATTGTTTGAAGGATTATAACACTTATATTTCCTTATGTGCTAATCATATTATGCAGTAAAAGCTTAAGAGAATTGCAATGTAACACGTTTGATCATAAATTTTACGTAGGTTTTCCTCGTGGGAAAAGAATTTTGGAGGTCGGCCAACGTACTTATTTGCCCTTGCGTACCTAGATAGGGTCTTGGGAGTTATAACAATCGGAGTGCCAATCGTGCCACTAGGCCTTCTAAAATTCGTTAAAAAGCTCCCTGAGGGCTTATACATTTCAAGATGGCAGGTGTGTATTTTCTTGGTCTTGTTGTCCATATCTATGCCATGACTAGCTTGCTTACAAGTTACAACTTACTGTTACCACTACTATAGGAACCTGGCCGGGCAGAGGCTGATTTCAGGCGCTTTGATGCGAAAACAGTTGTTTGGAACATTTACATCCTTTTCTCCAGAAGCAAAATACCAATAGCTGTAGAAAACCAGGAGATCATGGACTTGGTGGATCCATTTGACCCTCTTCCCCCTTGGTTCACCAAGGAAGATCTTGCTGCATATGGAGCTCTGTATGAGAAATCGGGCTTCCAAACTGCACTGCACATTCCGTATAGGTAACGCATTTGATCTTCGAATCACTACTACTTCCGCATACTAGAAGAGTTAATGAAAAAAACATTATTATCGAATCATCAGACTTATCATTTGAAATTAGTTTAACCCTGCTAACTTGGATTCAAGTGGTAAGTACATGTTAATGATTTCTTGAACTTTACGTTATGTATTGGTAGGGCACTTAGAGAAGAATTCGGCTTGACGAATCTAATTGTTAAAGTTCCGTCACTTTATATAATGGGAGGCAAGGATTATGTAAACAAATTTCCAGGGATAGATTACTACATCGACATTGGGAGGGTGAAAAGTTTGTCCCCAATTTGGAGATTCAATTCATGTCCTAAAGATCGCATTTCGTTCAAGAACAGTCGCCGAACAAGGTTAATTAGCTTATCATTACCTTCCTTGAAAAGCACGTTTGATTGCTAATGCTTGTGTGAAGATTGCCAGAGACGAAGTGTTATTTATAGAAGGCTTTGCTGAGGTTTTATATGAATCACTGGGAAATTATGCATGTGATTCGATAATCTGAACAATATTTTATCTTAATTTATACAAAAGATTGCTTTGTAATTTTAACATATAATGTTTCTCAAATACTACAGTAAGACTTGATTTGTTGCACGCTTTATTGAGATATGAATTTGCGGTTAAAGACACGCAATAAGAAAGTAATAACTGAATATCAAACTTGTCATTTATATGAGTTAAACATAACTCTCTCACTGACATGTGGACAAGAGAATCACAAATTATAAAAAAGGTGAAAACTCATACTTTTTAAACATTATTTAGCCAAAAGTCAAAAAGACCAAGAGATAGAAATCAGTGAGAGATAGAAAGGGAGAGTGAAATGAGCTAAAGAAGTGAAGGAGAAGAACTGACTTGTATTGAGTTGGAGAACCGGAAAAGACAAAAAGGTACTCTATCTTTTGACACATGGATGACACGTTAACGTGAGCCGACATTGAAGAAAAACTTACTGAAACCAACAATATACGATAAAATGAGACACATTTACATATTTTAAAAAGTAAGTAAATTGGATCAAAATAAGTTTCAAGAGGCAGGATGAGATTTTTTTCACACTTTCAAAGGTGCACTAGTAATTGAGCCCTTTGATTATTGTCTATATAAATTTGAAACAGATATATGAGTGAGAATTTTTTTTTTTTTTTTTAAGATGCTTATAGATTTTCATGACAATTAGGACCCTCATATGCAGGTATGTTTGTATTTCCAAAAATACCACTCATGCATGATGATGGAGTTGCATGGTTTATGCTCTTCCTTGTTAATAATGCTGCTAAACTCAATGCCTGCAACTTTATTCAGTCAGAGGATTAACTTTCTTGTTAACTGGTTGCTTAAAATTCTACACATTCGTTTTAGTTAATTTGTTAGTGTTAATCACAACCTGAAATCTCATATAGTTACAATCTCTTTTTTTTCGATGGGCTATACAAAATATGCCCCGGCCTATATGTGCAGATGTTGGTGGTTTGTTAATCCAAGTGTTTGAACTCCATTCTCCAGCCGAAAAGTGGCATAGGCTCAATATGTACGGTGGGCGTTGGCCTTGGTCTGATCCAGATGATATGGGTCCTCAAGATGATAACCCAAGCTATGCAATTCTTTAGACCCACTTGATTCCGGATCTTGGAAAGTTGGGCTGTTTATTATAGAGCCATTCAATACTAATCTTAAATTGACAGCTATCTTGGTACAAACACGAACTCATAAAAATAAAATAAAGATATAAGCAAAAGCATATGATTCACTGTCATATAAACTATACATATGCAAGCTGTTTGTCACAGCCCGTGCCGGAATTTTTAATTCCGAGGACATGAAATTACGGAAATGTCCCTAATACGTGACTAAGGTATAATTTTCACGTTCGTTATATCTAAGCTCCAAAAAAATTTGGTAATTGGAGTGGAGACTTAGACTTAAATTTTATGATGGAATTTTATGAAATTGGGATTGGTTTGGACATGTGAGATCCCCACACCTCAAAACCCTCCCCATTTCCCGTATACTGTCCTTCATACTCTCTCTCTTCCTCAGAAACTCTCATTCTCTCTCTTCTTCTCGAACGCACGGGCAACCACCAAAACCACCTAAAACCTATACCAACGTCCAAGTTAAGACTACCATTGCAACCCTGAGGACTTCACGATCACGTAGGTACCATTTTCAGGTAAGTTTCATTTCGAAAAACCCTAGTTCTAAAGACCCCGTGAATGTGTACTGTTCATGATCTTTGAAGTGGTTGTGTTTTAGGCCAAAATAAGATCATAGCAAGCTTAGTGAGGTCCCAAGGAAGCTCGGAGTGCTTTCGTTGGAAGTTTTTGGACGTAAGAACACGGAGATCGACAAGTTCAAAGTTTGGCCGGAGCTTTCGAGGCGTTTTCCGGCGAATCCCCGGCGAGTTAGGAGTCGAAGTAGGTATCAATCTCTTCGTCTCGTCAATTACTACACCTTTCCTTTTTGTTTCACTCAATTTCGTTGAGTATTGAAGAAGTTATACTCATTTGAAAAATACCCAGTTTCCGGCGACCTCCGAGGCTTTCGAGGCAGTTTCCGGCCAAACCACGGCGAAATAGGTGTTGTGCAAGGTACCATTCTCTTTGTCTCTTCAAGGGCTACAACTTTTGTTTTTGAATCACTTGATTTCGTTGAGAAATGACAAAGTTATGGCAATTTGAAAAACTGCCCGGAAAACGGCCGCCGGAAAAACCAGTCCGGCGACCCAAGGAGGAAGAAGGTGCTACAGTAAAAATAAAAATAAAATAAAAATAAAATTATTTTAAAAATATGTCGACGTCCGTGACGTCGAGTAGATCACTGTGGTATATTCATATACCTAAATTGAACACCGTATGAGAAAGTTATTGAGGATTGTTGGTTAGGTGTTCAAATAACGTTTTATAGTTTTCACATTTAGGTGAAAATGTGAATTGATGATCCGACCGTTGGATCGTCACCAAACTTTGATACGTTGTAATACGTAATATTTGAGGATTATTGGAACTTACGGATTGGGAAATCCGAGTTACGGATCTTCCGGAATTGGAATTGTAAGTCCATAATATAAAATGTTAACCGTCACTTAGTTTTTGGAAATTGACGGAGATCCGACCGTTGGATGGTAATGAAATTTTAGGATGTTATCCTAGAGATATATTGTGGACCTCTGGAAGTTATGGATTTTAAAATCTGAGTGGCAGATCTTCCGGATCGAACTACGTAGTGACGTATTTATATAAGTTATATATATTCTATCGATATGAATTCTGAGGTTGGATTTGATTACTATTTCTAGGCGGCGATCGTCGTGACGCCTTTGATGTGTGGTGCTAGGGAGTTGTTGGAACGAACTCCAGGTGAGTGGGCAGTTTTGTTTTCCGTATATATATATATACTTAACGTTTTCCCAGAAATTGAAAATGCATGAAATTATGTTTAAAATGAAATGCATATGAGTTATGTGGAAAAACGGGAAGTGAAATACCATGCATAGAATTGATATGAAAAGTAATATAAAAAATGTGAGTTGAAATGCCATGCATGAATTAATATATGATGCATATGTATGAATTGGTGCGGTGGACGCACAGGTAAGAATTGATTTATGATGCATATGTATGAATTGGTGCGGTGGACGCACATGTAAGAATTGATTTATGATGCATATGTATGAAATGGTGCGGTGGACGCACAGATGAGTATTTAATTACTGTTATGATGATGATGATATATATTGAGCTCAAATCCTGCACCATGGTTTAGTGCTTATAGTATTCACCGCATCGCACGCTCGCCTTGGATCCAAGTAGATGCTAGTCGTACAGTCCACGCGGAGTGGGTACGACAGACCAGTCGCGAGAGTGTTAGTGAGATTCCGACTGGTGGGTGACCTTAGATTATGTGCACAGATGATTTATGAGAAGCACTAGAGCGTAACTTGTGTGCAGAAGGCCGGACGGGTCACAGAGGTGACTCCGGTAGAGTGATAATGATAGATTTTGAGCTCTAGGTTCAACCGTATAGGGCTATTAGAGGGCCTACGGTTGATTACTTTCTTGCACCTGATATGATTATGTTGATGCATTCATACCTTATTACTGTTGAGATGATGTGGCATGGCATAATTAATATGAGAAATGTTGAGATGACATGGCATGGCATGATTGATAAAGAGATAATGTTGAGATAGTAAAAATGAAGTTTTGAGAATATATATGTATATTTATATTTTACATTTCTGGGAAAGTATACAGGTTTTACGGAGAGGGGTTACAACGTTTTGAGAAATGTTTGGATTTGGAAAAGAATTGTTTTACTGACCCACTCAATTTTGGTTTTGCGCCCCTCCAGGTTCAGGAATCACAAAGGTGTGGTGACTACGAGGAATACAGCGGGGTTCTGACAGATTGGACAAAATTAGGACTCACCTTCGGGTGTATCAACTTATAAATTGTATAATTAAAGCTTCCGTACTGTGCAAATGGTTACGTCACTCTCACGTGACGGCCAGCATGCCCTCCTTCGGGACGGGGTGTGTCACTGTTGCTCTTTCCTATCATTTTCTTTGATCTTGATTTTTTTATTTATTTTTTATTGTTTTAGCCGAAAAAAACAAAAGCAAAGTTGGTATTCTTAATTTTGTATTATGGCTAGGGAAATTATTCCAACAAAACTAAAGATAGTTGGAATTCATAATCTTGCTAGCAGGGAAAATAAAATTATATGGGACCAAATCAAGTGGGAATTCTCTAATAATATCTTGGACCAAATTAAGGGTTAAGGTTTATGTCCATTGATTAAGTATATTTTTTTTCATGTTAATAAAATTTTCTAATACCGCCAACATTATCTATAAAGAAATCCATAAAAAAAACAACTGATTTGTTCATTTCCAAAGTAGATTTTAAATTTGAAAGCTTATGTGGCACTTTGATTTTTTTTTAAAATTTTATTCTTCATCTGATATGTCAAATTTAAACCACTTTTTATTATATTATTTATTTTTCATGATTTTAATAAGTATTTAGAACAAAAAGTAAGAATAAAAGTTTGAACCACATTATTATTAGCTTATTGTGAGACATTCCTGATAATATCGTTTGTTAAAAAAAAATTGAAGTTGCTGACACTAATGCTGTATTTTTTTACTGTTATTGCTGATGTGGACATTTTAACTCATCTTTTAAATATGCTTAGTTATCCCTTCCAAGCTAATCCTCTTTAAAAAATGCACTTAATCCTTAAATCCTTTAAACTAACAGAATTTCTGCTTGCAGTTGAACATCAGAGAAAAAAAAAATGTCCGCTTGGTTATAAATTTTTTCCAGCCGTTTGGCGATCACCCAACATGCATAGTCCTCCGTCCAATGAAAACGCACATGATTGACCAAAAGTGAAGGAAAATCGCCAAAAAAGAAGAAAAAAGTAAAGGAAAAAGGAAAAGGCTGAGGGAAATGGGGCCCAGCCTCATGGGCTGACGGGTTTATTAATCATAAGAAGAAGAAAGTAGTTCCGGCAGAACGGAAAGAAAATCAATATCGCCAAAAACCTTGGGAGAGGATCCTCTCCGGACCCAAACCCACCGGAGCATCCGGATCCGTCTTCGTCGGCATCTTGGGCTTTCCCGGAGCCGGCGTCGTGCTTTCCCGAAGCCGGCGTCGTGACTTCCTCGGAGCTGGTTGTCGGAGAAGATGCAGAAGATGCATAATTGAAGAAGAAAGTTTTCCGATACACAAACAAAGAAGGAAGAAGGAAGTGAAGAAGAAGATGCATAATTGAAGAAGAAGAATTGAAGAAGAAGCAGAACCAAATCTGCAGAGAAGAAGGAAGAAGGAAATCTGCAGAGAAGAAGGAAGAAGGAGGAAGATCCGGAGGCTCCGGTGGGTTTGGGTCCGGAGAGGATCCTCTCCAAAAACCTTCAATTTGCCTAAAGAAAATGAAGGAAATGGATACCTGGTCGAGCTTAGGGAAGCTGTTAACTTTGGTGCTGGTGTTGGTGTCCTACCACTTTGCGGCTCGCAATTCCGGTCTTGTCTTTGATGTCCTCATCTTCCTCCTCTGCTCCCTCGGCCTCGTCTTTCACCAAGTGAATGCCTCAGTCCCCAATAAAGCCTCGTCGTCCTCCTCCTCCTCACCCGGATCCTCATCCTCATCGTCCACCTCCGCCTCCTTGTCCTCGTCCTCCTTCTCAAAAGGTTCGCTCTACGACGTGTTCATAAGCTTCAGAGGCGAAGACACACGTAAAAACTTCACGGGCCACCTCTATGAAGCATTAACAAAGGCTGGAATCAATGCTTTTATTGACGACGAAGAACTAAAAAGGGGAGAAGAATTAACAACCGCATTTGAGCGGGCAATCCAAGGTTCCAAGATCTCTATCATCGTCTTCTCTAGACAATATGCGAACTCCAGCTGGTGCCTCGAGGAGCTGGTTAAGATCATGGAGTGTAGAAGAACGCTGGGGCAATTAGTTTTGCCGGCATTCTATGACATTGATCCTTCGCATGTCAGGAAGCAGATTGACAGTTTTGGACAATTGTTTCTGAAACATATAGATGAAAAGAAGGTAGCGAGATGGAAGGAAGAGAGGTGGAGAACTGCTCTTACTGAAGCTTCGAATTTGTCTGGCTGGGATCTCCAAAACACTTTGGGCGGGTACTTACTAATTTCTTCTCTTATGAATTTAGGCTTTAACGTGCCTTTTCTTATTAATTTGGAAGCATGAGATTTCTTAAACCTCTTTTAATAAAATCATACAATAAAGCTTCAACTGTTAAGCTTACACTAACACAGCAGGAGAGCCGCCGTCGAATGGCTGCAGAGGGAAGAGATGCTGGTTTTGTTTGTTTGTGTTTCTAATTTGAATTTTTAATTGATGTTTGCTAAGTTTAAACACAACACCTCAAAGAAGATTGTCTTAAATAAAATCTCTAGTCATAATAAGTAATTTTGTGTATTAGTTCAATTTCGTCTTGTAGTTGTATAATAATCTTCGTTTTGCTTCTCAACTTGACTAATGCCAGGCATGAAGCCAAGTTTATCAGGATGATTACTGAGGAAGTCACTAGGAAGCTGAACAACACATACTTAGACGTAGCGCCCTACCAAGTCGGAATAGATTCTCGAGTGCAAGATATTAGTAATTATTTATGCATCGGAGATTCAGATGATGTTCGGGTGATTGGAATTTTGGGCATGGGTGGAATAGGTAAAACAACGCTTGCTAAAGCCATTTATAATCAATTTTCTGACAAGTTTCGAGGTAAAAGTTTCCTTGAAAAAGTGAGGGAAAAGAAACTAGAAAAATTGCAAAAACAACTTCTTTTTGATATCTTGCAAACCACCAAGACAAAAGTAAGCAGTGTTGCTGCAGGGACCGCCTTGGTAGGGGAAAGATTTCGACGCTTAAAGGTACTTTTCATATTTGATGATGTAGACGATGTGAAGCAGCTACAGGAATTAGTTAGAAATCGCCATTCTTTTGGCTCGGGGAGCAGAATTATCATCACAACAAGAAACGAACATGTGTTAAAAGAATTTGCAGTTGATATGGTATATCCGGCGATAGAAATGAAACGAGAAGAAGCTCTTGAGCTCCTAAATTGGCATGCTTTCAGAAGTAGTTGTTGTCCTAGTCAATATCTTGAGCTTGCAAGAGAAGTTGTCAATTACTGTGGAGGAGTGCCATTGGCTCTTCAAGTTTTAGGTTCTAACCTGTTCAACCGAAGCATAGGAGATTGGAAAAGTACATTGGATAAATTGAAAGAAATTCCTCTTGATAACATTCAGGAACAGCTGAAAATAAGTTACAAAGGGTTGAATGATGACTACGAGAGGGAGATATTCCGCGATATATCTTGGTTGAGCTTAGGGAAGTTGTTAACTCTGGTGCTGGTGTTAGTGCCCTACCACTTTGTGGCTCGCAATTCCAGTCTTGTCTTTGATGTCCTCATCTTCCTCCTCTGCTCCCTCGGCCTCGTCTTTCGCCAAATGAATATCTCCATCCCCGATAAAGCCTCGTCCTCGTCCTCCTCCTTGCCCTCATCCTCATCGTCCTTCTCCGCCTCCTCGCCCTCACCCTCATCCTCATCTTCCTCCTCTGCCTCCTCCACCTCCTTGCCCTCATCCTCATCCTCATCGTTCTCCTCTGCCTCCTCGTCATCGTCCTCCTCAAAAGGCTCGCTTTACGAAGTGTTCATAAGCTTCAGAGGCGAAGACACACGTAAAAACTTCACGGGCCACCTCCACGAAGCATTGACAAAGGCCGGAATCAACGCCTTTATTGACGACGAAGAACTAAGAAGAGGAGAAGATATAACTACCGAACTTGTGCGGGCAATCCAGGGTTCTAGGATCTCTATCATCGTCTTCTCAAAATGGTACGCGGACTCCAGTTGGTGTCTCGAGGAGCTGGTTAAGATCATGGAATGTAGAAGAACGCTAGGGCAATTAGTTTTGCCAATATTCTATGACGTTGATCCTTCCCATGTCAGGAAACAGAATGGTAGTTTTGCACAATCGTTTCTGAAACATACAGATGAAAAGAAGGTAGAGAGGTGGAAGTTAGAGAGGTGGAGAACCGCTCTTAATGAAGCTTCGAATTTGTCTGGCTGGGATCTCAGAAACACTTTGGACGGGTACTTACTAATTTCTTTTCTTATGAATTAAGGCTTTAACGTACCTTTGCTTATTAATTTGGAAGCATGCGATTTCTTAGACCTCTTTTAATAAAATCATACAATAAAGCTTAAACTGTTAAGGCTACACTAGTCACAGCTGGGAAGCCGCCGGCGAATGCCTGCGGTGGGGATGTTGGTTTTGTTTGTTTGTGTTTCTTATTTAATTTTAAGTTTAATTGATGTCTGCTAAGTTTAAGCACAACACCTCAAAGAAAATTGTCTTAATTAAAATCTCTAATCATGATAAATAATTTTGTGTATTAGTTCAATTTCGTCTTGTAGTTGTATAACAATCTTCGTTTTGCTTCTCAACTTCACTAATGCCAGGCATGAAGCAAAGTTTATCAGGATGATTACTAATGAAGTCACTACGAAGCTGAACAACAAATATTTAGACGTAGCGCCCTACCCAGTCGGAATAGATTCTCGAGTGCTAGATATCAGTAAATGTTTAGGCATCGGATGTTCGGATGATGTTCGCGTGATTGGAATTACAGGTATGGGTGGAATAGGTAAAACAACGATTGCAAAAGCCATTTATAACAAATTTTATGAAATGTTTGAAGGTAAAAGTTTCCTTGAAAAAGTGAGGGAAAAGAAACTAGAAAAATTGCAAAAACAACTTCTTTTTGATATCTTGCAAACGACCAAGACAAAGGTAAGCAGTGTTGCTGCAGGGACCGCCTTGGTAGGGGAAAGATTTCAATGCTTAAAGGTACTTGTCATATTTGATGATGTAGACGATGTGAAGCAGCTACACGAATTAGCTGGAAATCGCCACTCTTTTGGCCCGGGGAGCAGAATTATCATCACAACAAGAAACAAACATATACTGAAACAATTAGCAGTTGATATGATATTTCCGGCAAAAAGAATGGATCGAAAAGAAGCTCTTGAGCTCCTAAGTTGGCATGCTTTCAGAAGTAGTTGTTGTCCTAGTAAATATCTCGAGCTTGCAAAAGAAGTTGTCAATTACTGTGGAGGACTGCCGTTGGCTCTTCAAATTTTAGGATCTACTCTTTTCGAAGGAAGTGTAGTAGAATGGAAAAGTATATTGGATAAATTGAAAATAATTCCTCCTGGAAAAATTCAGGCACAGCTGAAAATAAGCTACGACGGGCTAAATGATGATTACGAGAGGGGGATATTCCTTGATATAGCTTGTTTTTTTATCGGAATGGACAAGAATGATGTCATACAAATCTTGGATGGTTGTGGCCTTTATGCAACAGCAGGAATCAAGGTCCTCCTTGATCGGTGCCTTGTAACTATTAATGGCAAAAACAAGATGATGATGCATGATTTGCTTCGCGATATGGGCAGAGATATCGTGCATGCAGAAAATCCTGATTTCGCTGGAGAACGAAGTAGATTGTGGCATCCTGAAGATGTAAATGCTGTGTTGATAGACAAATCTGTAAGTACTTTCCCAATTGAACTTTATGTTAAACGTGTACGTAATGAAAGAGAAGTATAAGTAATCGAACTTTTTTTCATGCAAAGCCTTCTCTTATTTAGAGTCTGTTTTTCGGATAGCAGGGAACTGAAAAAATTGGTGGTCTGGCTTTGAACATGCTGAGCCTTGAAGAGACTAGTTTCAGTACTGAGGCATTTAGAAATATGAAGGGACTGAGATTGCTCCAACTAAACTACGTTCGGCTTGCTGGGGGATACCAATGTCTTTCCAAAAAATTAAGATGGTTGTGCTGGCATGGATTCCCATTGGAGTTCATACCTATAGAACTATGTCAACCAAACATAGTCGCTATCGACATGCGGTACAGCAGCCTCAAACAAGTTCTTTGTGAGTATTCTGGGGTAAGTACAATGCGTAACCTGAACAAAATTATGAATTATTTTTATGCTCTCTGTATCTTCTTTTTGGATTTAAATTTTTTATTTAAATTTGATTTTTCGTAACAGTTGCTTGGTAAGTTGAAGATTCTGAATCTCAGCCACTCCCACGATTTAACACAATCGCCAGACTTTTCAAAATTCCCAAATCTTGAGAAATTGATACTCAAAGACTGTAAGAGGTTGGCTAAAGTTCACAAGTCCATCGGAGATCTCAAGAGTCTTGTGTTGGTGAATTTGAAAGACTGCGAAACGCTTAAGGCTCTCCCGAGGAATTTCTACAAGTCGAAATCTGTCAAAACTCTTGTTCTCGATGGTTGTTCAAGATTCCGAAGCTTGTCTGAGCACTTGGGAAAAATGGCATCATTGGTCACTCTTTTTGCTGATGGGACGGCCATAAAAAAAGTACCACCTTCCATCGTACGACTGGAGAAGCTCGAGTGCCTATCTTTGAGTTACTTGAAGTGTCCTTTGCAGCTACCTTCCTTACGAGGCTTAGGCTCTTTAACAGAGTTATCTTTGAGACACTGCAATTTAATGGAAGTGCCTAATGATATTGGGAGTAGTCTACCTTGTTTAGAGTACTTATTTCTAGGCAACAATAATTTTCGGAGCCTTCCAAGCCTCGGTGACCTGTCCATGCTTATTGAACTACGCTTGGATAGTTGCAGAAACCTTGTCGAGATCACAGATTTACCAAAAAGTTTGGGTATCTTGGAGATGAAGGACTGCTCTGCATTAGAAAGAATGTCAGATTTTTCAGGCATGTCGACAATCGTGTATCTCGGTTCCCCCAAACTCATTGAGTTTCCAGGCTTGGAGAGTGCGTTAAACTCGGGCCTCAGACTTGATATGTTAACACACAACAATGTCATGGATTTCCTTCTTAAGGATAGCACGCTACAGGTTCTCTCTCTCTTCCACAGCACCCCCTCTCCTCCTTCCCTCGCATATGTGTGTTATGCATGTATTACTCACACAAATCTTGTTCAACATGGTATAGGGATGGACAGGAGATGGATACATGAGACTCTTGTAGGAAGACAAATTCCCACTTGGTTCAATCATGTCAACGAGGGTACCCAAGTCTCTTTCGAAGTGCCTAAGGAAATTGGTTGTAATGCAAAAGCGTTGGCTGTGTGCATGGCTTATCGTTCTTTTATTGATGTCGACAGCGTGTTTTTTGGTTCTTGTTTCATTTGTGTTATTAATCACACCAAGCGTACTAGTTTTTTTGTCGACCTAATGAGCCCACCAGCTTGCGGTGGAGAGTACCTTTGGCTGGGGCATATACCGTTATGGGAAGATAAGTTCAATTTCGAAGAAGGCGATTTGGTCCTCGTTATTGCAAAGATTCTACGTAGTGATCAGTTCATGGTGAAGAAAACAGGGGTACGTTTACGTAGTGAGTTCATGGTGAAGAAAACAGGGGTACGTTTAGTGTGTGACAAGACTTTCGAAGGTCGTTTGTACTATCGTTACTATCCTATCCCTTACGGTAGGGCCTTAGAAGAAATTCCCACCGAAAATGATGAAGATTTTCATGAGGATTATGAAAATGATGATGAGGATGATAGTGAGGATGACGACGACGATGATACTAATGACGAGGGTGATGACAACCAAGATGATGACGACGACCACGATGACCATGTAAGCTAGGAAACTTCCTGGTTTAATCAGCTAGTTTGCAGATACAGTTTGTCTTTTTGGTTAGGAAACTTCCTGCTTGATCTGTTTTTAACATGTTCTCTCTGTTTGAACTTTCTTGTTTCTGTGTTGGTTTGATTTTCCTTATTAATGCACTTTTAAAGGTTTGTTTTAAGGAAAAAAAAAGGAATTGAAGTACAAGCTCATATTTGATCATTCAGGATGGAGTTGCTCAGAGCTGGGGGCACTTGATTTACCTACATCCCGAGCCGTGTGTTTAATTTCTCCTCCCCAGTATTGCTTGTATGAAAAACATTAACCAAAAAAACTTTTGAACAAACGAACAGTAATGTCATTAAAACTTTTAGTTAAGAATTTGCGGTTTAAAATTAAAATCATGCAATGGAGTAGTAGTAATTGAATATTGAAGCTGTTTTTCGTACGAGTTAAACATTACCCACTCACTCACGGAGGGAGATGAGAACCATAAATTATTAAAAAAAGATGAAAACTCATATTTTTTAAAGATTATTTAGCCAAAAATCAATACCATCAAGAGATAGAAATCAGTGTGAGAGAGGGAGGCAGATTGTCTGCCCTCCTAGTTGTCCTAGTTGTGGTGCCCTTCCATGCTCTTTTATTTGTACGGTCACGGTTAAGTCACGTCAATATTTTATATTTTTATTATTTTTGTCTTATTATCTCTATTAAAAAATTAATATAAAATGTTGACGTGATTTAACCGTGACCGTACAAAATAAGAGGGCATGGAAGGACACCACAACTAAAAGGACAGACAAAAAGGGGAAAGACAAAAAGGTCCTCTTTTTTGACATGTCATCATAAGCGACATTGATAAAAAACTTAATGAAGCTAACGATATACGATAAAATAAAGCACATTTACACATTTTAAAAAATAAGTAAACTGAATCAAAAGAAGTTTTAAGAAACAGAATGAGACTGTCAAACATTTTCAAGGGCACACAAGTTATTAAATATTTTAATTAGATATACGAGCTACAATATCTAATTAGAATTAAAATATGAGTCAGAATATCATTTTTCTGAAACGAAACAAAAATTATAAGGAGAAGCCCCAAGGAAAACAACATAAAAATGACTAGTAATTATAAATAGTAAAATAAAAATGTAACTTGGGTTATGGACGTAAATGCCCTCCTATTTGATGCTAGCTGCTTCAATTTTTGGCAAGTCCAAACATTGTCTTGTCGGAACCAGAAGTGATCTCTCTCTCTCTCTCTCTCTCTATCTTTTTCGTACACTTTGTGATTGTCGTCTGAAAAACCACCTGAAATGGAGCAAATCCAGCACAAGTACATAACCGTACAAGGCCTGAAGCTCCACGTCGCCGACATCGGAACAGGTCAGATTATTTGCCTCCCCAATTCCTCGTCCGGCACCGTAGCGTATTTATTATTCTTAACACAACCGAACACAACCATAATCGATCGATCGCCGTCTTTTTTTGTTTATCATAGGTTCCAATGTGGTTGTGTTCCTGCACGGTTTCCCGGAAATTTGGTACTCGTGGCGGCACCAGATGGTTGCGGCGGCCAACGCCGGCTTCCGGGCCATCGCTCCCGACTACCGCGGATACGGACTATCCGACCCTCCTCCCCAATCCGAGAAGACCTCGTACCGTGACCTCGCCAGTGACATCCTTGGAATTCTCGATTCCCTTGCTATTCCCAAGGTACTTATTGGAAAGAATCATCGGATTTTTCTCCTTAATTATTATTAATTCCAATTAATTAACTTGCTTAAATTAACAAAAAAAAAATTCCTTTAACTCCATAGATATTTCTTGGAATCTCCAGTTTGTTTAGGTTGGTACATATGGTGAATAAAATACAAGTCTCCTTTTTCCTTTTGTTTTGGCATCCCTGAAGTTTTTCTTGTCATTAGTACTAATTTGATTAAAAGAAAATTAATTCATTTGGATAATCGGAGTGCGGATTCGAAGTAGAGAAATGCTAAGAGGACTCTCTCAAAGGTGGGACTCTCTATAGACCGTAGCACCTTACAGTTTAACGTCAATTCTTATGCCAACACTATAAAACATTGTGCAAAAAACATGAGGTGCAAAGAGTCTATGGAGAGCCCACTTTTGATAAGAGTCCCCTTTGCATTTCTCTTCGAAATATCACTAAACTTGAGAGCTAGTTGGTAATTGTATTCAACTTTTGGATGAACACTTTCTGATGTTAATGGCTATGAGGATTTAAGGCTTTGGAAATTGTATTCAAATTTGCATAGGTTTTCCTAATTGCAAAAGATTTTGGAGTTGGGGTGGCGACATTATTTTCTCTTCTGCACCCCGAGAGGGTCGTAGGCGTTGTAACAATGGGATTGCCAATCATGCCACCAGGCCCTCGTAAAACGGGCAACTACCTCCCAGAAGGTTTCTACATTTCAAGATGGCAGGTGTGCATTTACCTGGTCTTGTTATATGTTCAATACTATTGCAAGCATGAATTTCTTGCGAGTTTGCAACTAACTGTTGCCTATGTTACAGGAACCTGGACGTGCAGAGGCTGATTTTGGGCGCCTCGATGCGAAAACGGTTGTTCGGAATGTTTACATCCTTTTTTCCAGAAGCGAAATACCAATAGCTGCAGAAGACCAGGAGATCATGGACCTAGTGGATCCATCTACGCCTCTTCCCCCTTGGTTCTGTGAGGAAGATCTTGCCGCATATGGAGCTTTGTATGAGAAATCGGGTTTCCGAACTGCGCTGCAAGTTCCATACAGGTAATGTAGTTGACCAAGTGGTTTCATACTGTTACATACTCGAACTGTTAATGTAGACAGAACGATCACCCCTAGCAATATTTGACCAAGTTGTAAGCACATACTCGTTAATGACCGTTGAACTCTTTTTACACATCGATAGGGCAATTAGAGAAGAGTCCGATGTAGCAGATCCAATAGTTAAAGCTCCGGCGCTTTTTATAATGGGAGGCAAGGATTATGTTAACAAATTTCCAGGGATAGAGGATTACATAAACAGTGGAAAGATCAAAGAGTTTGTCCCTGATTTGGAGATTGTATTTCTTCCCGAAGGAACGCATTTTGTTCAAGAACAGTCGCCTGAAGAGGTCAATCAGCTGATCCTCACCTTCCTCGGAAAGCATATTTGAAACGCTAATGCTTTGCTCGAAGATTGCCAGTGACGAAGTGAGATTTGTCCCTTGGAAATAAGCATGTGATATGAAACTGCCAATAGTGTAGCGGTGACGAATCTTATGCAGAAGGCAAACTTTGTAATTCTGTTGTGGCATGTAATGTTTCTCTTTCAAATAATACATACAATTTGGCAATGCCATCATATGATTCAAATACGGTTATTTCAAGCGACAATGTACACGAAATTAATCTACAAACATTACTCAGAATCATAAACATTAATATCAAAGAAGTGAAACGGAAATAAATTAGGTCTGTCAAGACGTTCATGGTATGAATTGATATCTTGCCCCAAAAAAATAAAAATACTAGGAACTGATGGCTTCTGGTGGTGGTACCATTTTAGGGACTGGTGTCGGCCACCATGGGAGCGCAAATGGTAAAACACGTATCACCTCTCCGTCTGTAATTTTCAGTATCTTCCTTGCACAAATGTCATGAAAATCGATCTACTTGACTGTAGATACATGATATCCTCATCAAACGAGTCCAAAGGCAACAATCTCGTGGCCTCTCCTTCATCGTACAACTGACGCCACAGACCAGATCGTTCCATCCTTGGCAATAAGCAAACCCCCTGTCTAATAGTGAAACAACAGCCATCCTCAACATCTCCTTTCATCTCCCAGATACGAACATCTTCGTAAATGTGCTGAAACGCTACGAGGCATAACATGCCTCGACTCTCACATAAGAACTTGTCAAGGTGTACAGGCAGCTTAACCTCATCAAGACGAAATAACATTTATCAAAAACTTCACGACCATCACAAGCACTACTAGAGTTATTGTCGTTGTACGCCAACGGATCCAACCCCATAACGCCACCAGTGCCTGCCCAGTACAACTTTCCTTTGCAAGGAAAACCCGCACGAGGAAAGGAGTCATTGCAGTAGACACCGAATTCTCGTGGGGATACTACAACCAGCTCTTTCCATACACCGGTCTCAGAAGAGAACATGTCCATTTTGCATCGAAAGGGATCTGGCAAATATAAATGAAATCGCACAACCTTGCACCTATACTCAGCGTTAACGATATTATTTTGTTCACAAGATTTGTTATCATCTTCCGGAAACTTATAGTAGGGATCGCAAATCAATTCCGCTGGTAGAATATCATGCCATGCTGGGGCAGGAGGTAGAGCAACCCAGTGGCTGGTGTATGGATTGCAAATGATGTAGTAAATGCTCGAGTCATTAGGCGAATATCCCCAGTAGCATAAAACTAGGTCATTGTACACGGATAATACATCCTTCATCCAACCACATTTTGGATCAAAAGAAGGGATGAAACTCATAGTAGATAACCTACTTCTTAAAGATTCCGGGAATTGGGAACTCGGTGTAAAAAATGCGGCGACGCGATCTTTTTGTGCGAAAAACAGTGAAAACAGCATACCGCAGGTACTGGGATTTTTCTTATCCTTTTGGAGACATACAAAACGGCCAACAATGTCAGGATTGGAGAGGAGGAGGAACCACCGCTTGCACAAGAATTTGCATTGTGAAACCAACTTGTTGCATGAGAGTCGACAAAGGATTTCAACCAACAACTCGTCAGGGAGGCTGTTGATTTTGAAGTAATCTTGTGATGATGCCGGCGGGAGCTGAGAATTTTTGGTAGTAAGGGCCATGAGTAGTAGAAGCAACTGTTAGACCAAGTCCGCGTCTGGTGGTGGTTTCCTCAAATTCAGGAGGTTGTGATCAACCTAAACTCTTATCCAAGAAGAGTTAGCTTAGTTCAAACTTCCTTTCGAATTTAGTTGTTTTCTGTAATACGTTTTGTAGTTTCTGTTGTACTTTTGGCTTTGAAACAGCCTTGTAAATAGGGATTTCAATCCCTGATGTAATCTGAATGTGACTATAAATACATGCAGCCTCTCTTTGTGAAGGCATGCAATTGACGTGAAACCCTAAGAGTTGTTAAGTTTTACATGGTATACGAGCCCTAGCAGTCTAACGACTTAGATCCTGATATTTTTTTTTCC